GCACGACGCGCCACTATAGCGGCTTGCTCTAGTAGCTCGCTCGCTCATCGTTCGAAACAAATAATCGTCTTCGTATGCATCGCTTCACACTTCTTTTGTCTTCGCATCGATTTACAACAGTCTACAAGGTGTCCCAAAAATGTCTCGCAATCCGGAAATGGCGGGTTCCTCGGATCGTTCGAAGCAACTTTTTCCTTTACAAAAATGTTCTCCGAGGCACCGTTAACGAGTTATCGACGAAAAACAGCGACCAATAAGAATCGAGTACGGCCGACGCGAGGCGGCCCAGCCGACCAGCGCGCGAAGCCCGGTTCCGCTCGTTGGCTCGATCGCCTCGCGCCAGCCGAGCTCGCCTCTCATTGGTCACCGTTTTTCGTTGATAACTCGTTAACGGTGCCTCGGAGAACATTTTTGTAAAGGAAGAAGTTGCTTGAAATAGTCCGAGGAACCCGCCACTTTCGGATTGCGAGACATTTTTGGGACATCCTGTATATACAGACAGAATATACAGTATCAGACTCTGCCGTCCAGAGAAATAGCTTCGCGCAGAATTCAGCCGTACCTAAAAGATTAAAAGCCGACCGCGCGCGGTCGAAGGATCGTCGGGGCGCGCGCGCGCGAATCGGCGAACGCGAACGGTGAAAATGATTCGCAGGTTTTTCACAATTTACACGGTTTTATTATCAATTCGTTCCTATTTTACACTCTCACCGATGCAGACTATTTCTGAATCGTAGATAGAAAACTCGATCGGTTGGCGAAAACTCGCCGAAAGCGACGACGACGACGTTTCGCTCTCGAAACGTGTTCGATTTGGAAATTTGTGGAACCGAATCGAGTCGCGGCAAAATCAGCGTCCCGGTACCGTTGTTTTTCCTCCCCCCCCCCCCGGTTGCTCTTTCTCTTGCTCTCGTCACTTTTTTTCTAATCGGGCGCATTTCGTTCGCATCGCATTTCGGTTATCGGCTATTTGCGGCTGTACAATGGCGAATCGTTGCGCTTCCTCGCGCGCGCATTTCGACGAAGGAACGCTCCGACGTAATTCTACGTCGATATATATGTACTTTTAAGTCGATACAAGCTGAACAAAGCAGTGTTATAGATAAAGAGCCCGTCGATAAAGACGAGAGAAGCGCGTTCCTCGCGAAGGAACGTCGAACGCGATATTATATTTACCGAGTTATCCTTGCTCGCAGAGATCGGACGTATCGACGAATCGAAGAGAACCTTTTGTTGTCTAGTCTGATCTCGATTCCGACGCGTTCGTAGTTCGAAAAGAAACGAACCGACGAACGTGCGACGTTCGATGTTTCGGTCCGAACGTCCAAGCGATAAAGAATTCGCAGTTCTCGAGGAAATTTTAACGAGTCGTCTTCGACGTCGCTAGAAAACGCGTCGCAACGAAGCAATTTGCAAAGATTCTCGTGAAACGGTTCGCGAAGGAAATTCGACGCGGAAAATCGAGGAAAATCGGCGCTCGACGCGTCGGGTGGCAGCGTCGTCTCCGGTCCCAAAAATTGCCACGACGTCGATTCGCGAAACGGATGCTACAAATTGAAGCCTTCGCGGACGAGAATGTTTCTCGAGAACATCGTCGTAGTTCCGACGCGAGCCTTGAACCGTTTCGCGTTCGGAAAAGTGGGTGAAAATTAGCGCGGCACCGAACGCGTTGAAACTGCAAAAATTGCGGGAACACGCGCGGTTTAAGATACTCCCCCGCGCGCGCGAGGCGACGGAAACCGACGAGTCGAACGCGCGCGAGCCGAAAACGTTTCTCGAGAATTTGCATTCTCGTTTTTCGCGGGTTCCGGCCGGAAAAACCTGTGGCTCCGGAAAAGCGGACGGCGGAGAATCTGGAGAAAACCAGAGAAATCAAAAAACCACAGAAAATCCGGAGAAAAACAGGCGCCGACCGAGACCCGCTCGGACGCTGCTCGTCGCCTCGCGTCGGTCGATATCCGTATCTGCTCGCGAGTTCGAAGCAACGCGCACCGCGCGCGCGGAATACGTTTAACGCCGATGCGAGAGAGAGAGAGAGGATTAAGTACGTCTTGAAGAAGGAAGTCCTAGCTATTGTTTGAAGCGTATAACCCAGCACCGTATGTTTCGTTACCTACTTAAACAGACTACTATCGCGGCGGTACCACCGACCGAATATTTAACACTTTCGCTAACTCGATCCCCGTTATTCCCATTGTCTGCCGGTTGGAACGATAAGGGAGAGGGAGAGACGGGAACGGAGAACGGAGAAGGAGACGCGAACGGAGACGGATAGAGCGCGCAATTCCGTTTCTCGTGCAAACGCGAATTAAACTTCTATTACGTACAAGGAGAATGGATCGTCCTCGAAGACGGCGGAACCGCGGACGCGTTCGCGAACCGCGCGATTTTCAGCCTTCGAGATTTCGTAGCGAACGCGTTAAACATCTGAAAATTGCATCCTCGGTGGTTAGTTTTCTAACGATCGCGGAGATCTTTGGAACGCGGCGTCCGATCGATCGTTAGCCAAGCAGAATTTGTTGCGCGGTTAATCGTTAAAGTTATACCCTTGCTTGCCTCGAGTTAATGTCTTTGTTAAGTCGACGGTTCGGTCGAGTCGCCAGAATCTACAGTCCCACTCGACGCGTCCCGTGCTCGACGTCGAGATCTCTCGGGCTCCGCTCGATCCTTTTCTTTTTTCTTTTTCTTTTTCTTCTTTATTTTTATTTTTATTTTCTCTCTTTTTTTTTTCTACTTCGAGTGGCAAGTGGAGACAATGGCGTCGTTCGTCGACGTTAACTGTCGGATCGTCGACACCGGTCGGATCGCTCGTCGTTTCGATAACCGAATTCGCGCTTTCGCCGACCAAATTCGTAATAATTGAATCGCACGAATTCATCCTTCGCAGATCGAATCCATCGTTTCGCAAATCTTCTCGCGTTCTCCGTCGGATCGAACTCGCCTTTCTTCTTGCGAGTTTGCTCGCGCTCCGTCTCTACCTTAAAAATACGTCCCGATAGGCGACAACCTCGCGAAACGATGGATCCGATCGACCTCGCGAAGTACACCCGACGTCTCGTCGATCGTTCGGACAGTCGCGCCGAGTCGAACGGATATTCGTATCGCGAACGCGAGTTCGCGAACGACGGTCTTAGGACCTGGCGATAGAATAGGCAGTGAACGCAGCGTCGCCTCGTTCGATAGAAAATGAAGGCAAGGACGGAATCGGGAGGATCTCCGAGATCGGAGAGGCTCGTGATCGGAGTCAGATCTGCATCTCCGGCTCGGAGTCGTCGTGGAACCAGTTGGAGGTCCTCTGGCTCTCGGTGACGCGAACGCTGCTCAGCTCCCTCTCCATGTACCGGCTGGATCTCGCGGCGGCCGGCATCTGCATCCGCATCTGCATCCGCATCGGCATCTGCACGGGCACGGGGAGCGAGTGCGGCAGCAGAGTCTGCCCGCGGTCGTGGTCCACGGAGGCGAGAACACGGAGCCGATCGGTCCTCCGGAGGAGCCTCGGCGTGGTCTCGACCGAGCTGGCGCCTTCCTCGGGGTCCTCGGGGTCGTCCGGGTCCTCGGCGGCCCAGGCCGGCAGGTCCATCATCCCCGAGGGGATGCCCCAGTGCTCGGTGAACTCGGAGCCGCTCCTGGCCAGGCTGGGCTGGCTGAGCGACCTGACCAGCGAGTCCGCGCCCTCGAACGAGCTCAGGCTGGTCAGGTCGTCCCTGTCGACCCTGACGAAGTCCCTGACGGTCATCTCGGACATGGACCGGACGTCGGCCTCGCTGCCGGCCGCGGCCCCGCGGTGGCTGGAGCCGAGCCGGCGCGGCCGACTCGGCTGGCCCATGCCGGAGCAGGAGCCGGAGCCGGCCTGCGACACCTGGATCCTGTGGCCCTGGGTGCGGGCGGAGCTGCCTCCGTCGCTCTCGTACTCGTACAACGTCGGCAGGGAGGATCGCCGGGACCTGGTGTCCCACTCGGACGACTTGGACCGCTTGTACCGATGGTTCTTGCCGAGGTGCGAGGAACAGCCGGAGCCGGCATGGTTCGACGGCGGGCCCAGGATCCGGATGATCACGTCCCACTTGGCCGGCGCGAACAGGTTCGCGTATCTCGCGTCCTTGCGGATCAGCTCGTAGTCCTCCTTGACCACCGCCTCGGTGAGCAGGGTCCTCAGGGTGCTGTCCGTGGTGATGATCTCGCGCCATCGGACGCGCTCGCCCTCGGTGAACTCGGCGGCGTATCCGGGCTCGAGGACCCGGGACAGCCTGGCGAACCAATCGGCGTCCGTCTCGGCGTCCGCGTCCGCCTCCGCGTCGGTCTCGTCGACGGAGCGGCGCGCCGCCAGCGCCGTCGGCCTGCACGGGATCTCGGCCCTGGCCGTGTACGTCGGCTCGATGCTGACGTCGGGCTCCTCGTCGAGCGGCCGCGGGCCCGACGCGCCGGCGATCGCGATCGCGATCGCGGCGTTCGACTCGTTCGCGATCGTCAGGTTCGACGTGGAACTGGCGTCCGAGAAGTTCTCCCATTCCGGGGGCGGCGGCGGCAGATGATTCTCCGTCGGATAATTCCTGATGGTGACGTCCCACTTGGGGTCGGGCGGCGGCTGCGACTGCGGCCTCGACATGTACTCGGTGACCTGGCGGCGATGCCGCTCCACGTCCTCGATCGTCTTCTTCTCGGTGACGGTCTTCAGGAACACGTCGTCCACCTCGTGCGTGGTGATCTCGGGCCGCCTCGGGGCGACCACCTGCGGCTCGAGCAGCGGCTCGGCGAGCTCCTCGCGGTAGAGCCGGTGCTGCTCCCGGTGCTGGATCGCGGCGTGGGTCGCGACCGCGGCGACCGGCGCGATCGGCGGCGGCGGAGGCGGCGTCGGCGCCAGGATGCTGGCGACCCTGTACTTGGCGTGCGTGTGGTCGGTCACCTCGGTCAGCGAGCGGCTCTCCGTCGGCTCGGTGTTCAGGGAGCCGAGGGAGCGGGGTCGCCGGATCTCGTGGTGCTGGAGCGGCGGCTGCTCGATCGCCGACTGCGGCGACGGGACCCGCCGCTCGTCCATCGGGCTCGCGCTCAGGCTGGTCGCGGTCTCCCGCTCGGCCTGCTTCCGCAGGATCCGCGAGTAGACCGGCGGCGTCTGCTGCCGCGAGATCGTCGACGGCGAGAGCGAGACGCCGCCGCCCGGCGGCCCGTGCAGTTCCGGCACGTAGGAGAACGTGGTCGTTCTGGCCGGAGGGCTCTCGAGGCTCCGGGTCAGGCTCGACTCCTCCTTCTCGAGGATCGTGGTGAGGTTCCGCTCGAGCGTCACGCTCGCCGCGTCCGATTCCGACGGCAGCGGGCTCGGCGGCGGCGGCGGGGCTCTCTTCACCCTCATCTGCACGTCGAATTTCGGCTCGATCGGCACGGCGACCATGTGCCGGCCGACGACCGTCCGGGACGCGTTCACCGCCGTCGTCGAGCTCGCCTCGACCTCGGCCGCCACCGTCTCCGAGTACAGCGAGCTGCTCGTCCGCGTCTCTTGCCGCTGCAGCTGGTGGCTCTCGTGATGCGCGAACGCCTTGTTGTCGTAGGAGCCTGCCGACGAGACCGGCAGCGAGGGCTCCTCGTCCACCTGTAAAACGACGGGGATTTCGTGGAACGCGTTCGTGGAACGTACTCGGACGAGGCGCCCGCTCTCGACGAACTTACCTCGGAGCTCTCGCTCGGATAATCGCTGGGCAACGAGTGATCGATCATCAGATTCGCGTCGCTTCCGGTGGTGGACGGCGGCGCGTGCAGGAGCGCGTGGGCCCTAGGAATCTTCAGGCCCTCGAACATCGTGATGTTGCTGAGAGAGGACGCGGAGAGCTTCGTTATCTCGGAGCCGGAGCCGCTTCCGAACGGGTGCCGGTGGATCACCCGAACGTTCCTGCGCTTCAGGCACATGTACGAGCAGCCCAGACCCATCAGCAGCAACGAGAGGAACAGGATCGCGCAAATGATCAGCAGAATTTGGAATCCTTTGAGCGGCGGCTCGGGCAGCGGCGAAGCGGTCTCGGTGGCCATGCTGTCGGCAAACAAACGGTCGGAGTCAACGCGACGGAACCGTATCGCCCTCGGTGTTTTTAAATGAACGAACTTTTGCGTGAAAACCCAAAATTTTCGACAAAAATCAGGTATCGCATGAAAAGTAAAAACGTTATAAAGTTCTAATCGGTGTTCGAAGATAGAGGAGAGCTTCCCGAATATAGCGGCGTGCAATTTATTAATTGTTTCTCATGTCGGACAGTGTTACCGAACCAGGTGCTGAAAAGCGCCTGGATATTCTCGAACCGCGAAGAAGATTTTCGCTGCTCTTACGAAGTTCGAGGTGGCGAATCGCTTACATGCTCTCGGGTGGTTTCGGCGGGGCGGGCGCCACGGGTGGCGGATATCTGCAGACTATCGTGATAACTTCGTCGCCGTCCATTTCGAGACCCGGATGAAAGCGCACCACCACGTTGTTGGTGAACACGCGTTGCGGATCCTGCCTCGTCCCGCATCCTGGAACATCGAATCTTTCGAGTTTTTACACCGTCTTGCCGCGCGAGCCAACCGTTGGCTATCGCTTCGAAACGTTGAAACGCGAGGAGAAAATCTATAACCGTGATTTTCTATCGTCGGAACCAACGGAGACGTTCCCCGGGCACGAGTTCGTCGACCCGTTGTCCCCGAGTTCGTTCGAAATCGGGAGACAAACGTTGGCGACGCGAGGAAAACGAGTCGGCCGTTTATCTTCGCGTCTGCCCGCGTCGGTAGCATCGTTATTACCGCGTGCACACGGCGCAGAAAGAGAGAAAGAGAAAAGTTGTTTTCTTCGAGACGGCGTAAATGCGCGTTATTCGACGCGTGGGCTTCCAGGCTGTCGCGCGCGTCCACGCTGGGACAAGCTCGTAAAAGATGACGCGCGGAGGACGGGAAAGCACGGGAAAGCGCGCGTTCGGGACGATCGGATCTCTCGCACCTTTTAGAGGCAGCTCCAACTTGGCGCTGGTCGATCCGCGGCCTTTGAATATGCACGCGCTGTTCCGATCGAAGTCGGCGTAGGCGACCCCGTAGAACGGTTCCTCGAACTTCAGCTCGACCTGCATGCTACCCTGGCTGCAATTCAGGTACGCCTTGGTGCGATTCAGAAATATCATCGACGAGACGTCGTCCAGTTTGGTTACCTTGCCGTTCAGAATCGTGCTCGGTGGAAGCCCGGGCTGGTACTCGATGCTGTTACCTTGCGAGGCGTAGTTGCTCTGCGACAGCGCCAGAGGAAGCGCCGTGCAGAGCACCGCCAGCAGCCTCGCCAGCATCTGGAAATCGAACGAGAGATCAGAGACGAGAATCGGACGCGATTAGGTTTAGGTTCGTCGATCTACGAATACGGCTACATCTACGATCGTTCTCGCGATACGCGCGAGAAACGACCGATCGACGCCGAAAAGAAATGTTCTCGGCAAGTTTTAGGCGATCCTCCTTCGCGAACGGTTCGATTCCAGTTTCTCGGTTCGACGATCGTCGATCGCGGGCGTCGCCGACTGGGCGCGGGCGAGGGTGTTGCCCGGCTTTGTTCCCGGCGATAATCCGTGCGCGGATTTTTCGCTTCGAGATCGGAATTGACGCGCGAGATAGGAACGCAACCGGACCTGGACCGGAGCAATAACTGGAACGGCGTGCCGCGCCGCGCCGCACCGTGATATCTCCCTTCGAGGCGTAAGCGTGAGCGTAAAGAGCCTGGCCGCGGCTCGCGGCGATTCGCGAGCTCCAACGTCGACTCGGATTGTTACGTTCGCGGGTGGAATTCAAAGTCGACGTTCACCGTTCACGGATTCGAGCTACGCCCGAGTCTAGGCCGCTGCCAACGATCTTTGTTTCGCGGAGAAACGGAACGGTATTATCGCCGCTGGATACTCGCGGATCGCGGGAACGATGGTGTCGCGACCGGTTCGAATTCGGAACATTCAATTTGTCGAATACGCGATTTTCGAACGCGCATTCCATTCCGGCTCGGGTTTTCTCGCTTTCCGCGTTCGTCGATCGGCGAACGTTCGTTCGCGCGTTTCTTCCGCTCTTTTCCAACGGAACGACTTCTTTGGAATTCGTCGAAACGATTCGAATTTCGCTCGAGACAATGGAGGAACGCGGCGCGTCGAGGAACGCTTCGAGCCTGCTGGAAGCGGCGTTCCGGACGACGACACTCCCGAGTCGCTCCCAAGTCGCTTTCGTAAACTGGACTTTTCCGGACTTTCCTGCGATAATAACTCGCGTTTCGCGCCATTCGACGAGCCGCGATTTTGTCCGAGTTTACGGTACGCGTTCGTCGTACCGACTACCGTAAACCGGTCCACGAACGCGCGAATTTCGATGCTCGTTTCAGTCCGATCGATTAAGAATTAACAGATTGTCGCGGCGAGTGCGCAACCGCGTGAGTCACTCTAAACGTCGTTCGATATAAATCCGTTCGAGCAGATGCAGTCACCGTTTCCTGTACGCGACTCGATCATCCTATCGACGCGACGAGATCCTTGGGTACGCGTAGACTGCAAATTTTTAATCGACCGTGGCTCGCGTACGCCTCTCTAAGGATAAGCGCGCAACGATGGAACGCGGTCGTCGCGAATCGAGAGGATGGATCGTAGAACGGATCGGTGTTCCGGGAAGATTCTGTTTCACGCGGTTACGAACGTGTAAACGAAACACAAAACGGTACAAGTATCCGTCGTTGGTAAAAATTGCTCGCGAACGAATGATTTATAATTTTGGCCGGACGCAACCTCCTCGAGAAATCGTTGGCCGGGTTGTAATTAAGACCAGGAATTTTTGAAATCGGGCCAGCGGAGCTGGTGACTCGATCTTTCGGACATATAAACGAACAAAGAAAAACAGCTGAAATTGAAACGCGACGACGAATCCGAAAATTTGTAACGTTCGTCGATGCGCACGCTTCGCAGGATCGTATCTCGAGTCTCGTTGCTTCCCTATCTGTCCGAAAAACCTTTTGCCGTTCGCGTATTACGCGATCCAGAGCCGCGAAGGAAAGTTCTGGCCTGGCACGCTTCGATGCGCTCGCACCGTTAGACGCCGCTAGAACAGAAGGTAATGTTCCCTTCGGACTCTACGCGGACGGAGAACCAGCGGCGAACCAGTGCGCGCGTTTCGGTCGTCCTGTCCTCTCTTCGCCCTTCTTCTCCGGTTACCGTTCCGTTCGACGGAACTTTCGTTCGAAGACGTCGAATCGAGGGTAGTCGAATCGTCCCTCGCCGGTGTCCCGTCGAACGGGAACCGAACGCGCGATATTTTGCGCGCGAGAACCGAGTAAGAAAACGGCCTTGCGATTTAACGTAACGGCTCGTTTAGCATCGATCGTGTCGCATCGAAGGAAAGTTTCCGAAGATCGCCGATCGTGAAAATGAAACGAAAACAACGTCGGCGGATCCCGTTCGCTCGCGCGTTCTCTTTCATCTGGAAAATCCGCGCACCGCCGTGACCGACTAAATTCTTCGAACGCGACATGTACGGTTGCGCAACGTTTTCAACGCACCGATCTCTGTCGCGAGAAGATGCGAGAAATCCGCGGTGCGGTACAACGTACAACGGACGATCCGAATACGTTCGTACTTCCCAATATATTTAAGCGGCGTAATTTAGTTCCGTTGGCAGATTTCTCGTCCAATATCGGTCGTATCAAGAACCGAGAAGCGACGTCGCTCTCGAAAAGTCTTCGAGAAGCATCGACTTACGTTGATCGGTGCTCGGACGATTCGAAACTCTTCTCCTTGTCCGTCGATCCTCGCCGGAACGCTCGCGCTTCCCGATTCGAACGTACGCGAAACTCGATCGGATCTTCGCGATCTCCGGCGGAACGTGCCGCGAGCGAATCGATCGGACGAAATAATAACCGACGCGATAAACGTCGACGCTCGAACGCGATTTATGCCGTGCTATGCGACGCGGCAGGACGTTTCTTCTCTTTAATTATTGTCCATCGCTCTCGCGCACCTTTCAACCGTAGACGTCGACGCGAACGTAAACGATCGCGGGACGATTTAGCGAGACGAGGAATCACCGAATGACGCTGCATCGACCTCGGCCGTTTCCGGTCTCTCGCGCGCGCGCGCACCCGCTCTCTTCTCGCGAAGACCTCGACCGATTCTTTCGATTGGAGCGCGCGACGCGCGACTCGCGACGGTTCGACGATGACAGCCGAACGAACCGTTCGAGATTCGAGAGTAAAAGCAAGCGTTCGACCAAAGAAAACGGCTCGTCGATTTATACGTTTTCTCGCGTTCGAAAAATCCGCGCACGCGACGAACGCGTCCGAACAGCCGCGATCAAATCGTTGCGATCGTCTAATCGACGATTTCGTCGATTTTCACGATCCGGTTGGACGCGCGTAAACGCGCGAAGTACGACGCGAGGATAAAGTAGCGCGATCGAATGCGATTCCTTCGACGTTACGCAACTCGCGTTTTTCTCGAACCGTCGACGGGTCGAAGTCGTTGTACAAAAAGGTATAAAATTACAACGGCTCGCGCGTGTCTCGATGGCAAATTAACTACAAACGATCATCGTCGCCGGCACGAGCGTCTCTCGTTTCGTCGACGAATCGCGAGACACGGCAGCGAAATAAAAATATTCGACGTTTCGATCGGCCGAACACGACGCGGCGATATTCGTCGAATCCTTCGAAGTTTTCGTCGTCTCCTCTCGATTCAATTTCGATCGGCTTTCTACGAAGTTTCTACGATTCTATCGCGGTCGAGAATCGCGAGGCGTTCGTTTCTCCATCGCGCGAGACGCGAAAGTTTTCGATAAAGTTAACGGCCAATTCGTGGCCGGCGGTCGATTCCTCGCCCATTCGTCTGCTCGGATAATGGAAATAATGGATTTTCTTGGGACTTTCACCTGCTCGCGCGCGTTGGATCCGCTCGACGTTACGCGACGGTCGTAATTAGCGTTTCGAGAAACGAGAGCCCCCGCGTCGAGAAGGATCTCGAACGCGTCGGACGGCGAAAACGATGCTCGAAGGTTCCCGAGAAAAATGCTATCGGGAAGGAACCGAAGCGAAATTCGCGTAGAAACCGAGAATAAAAGTCTCCGTGGGACCCCTCCCGACGCTTTCGCGGTTGCTCGAACTTCAAATGTCAGCGGCTGTTCCGTTTTCGGAGCTGCCAACGGTTTCCAACGTCGCGCGCTTTCGAATAAATCCTCCGCCATCCGTTTACTTTCGAATTATCCGTTGCGCAACGACCGGGGCCCAATTTTCGAAGAAGGTCGCCCGACCTTGGCGCCGGGGAAGCTGGCGGCCCCGAGAACGAGCGTCGACGTCTCGAAAATGGATCGCGGGTGTTCGAGATTCGCGCGTTCTCGCCCGCTAATTTGCGAATCGGAACACCAAACAGAAGTTCGTTTTCCTTTTTCACGGTTTACGGATCGCGCGTCCACCGGTGCTCTTCCACTCGGTCCGTCGAATCGATTTTAACGAGCCGTTTTCGTAGAACGCGCGCGCGTCGCTCGTCGAGGATGCGCGAAAGAGCCAGCGACAACCGACCGAACGGGATCAACGTCGAACCCGTCGTTAACCCATTGCCGTACTCTGTCCAGGTTAACTCGCGACGGACATTTTTCTAGCGATATTCCATCGAACGTTGTTCCGTTAGCTTCGAATCGGAATAGAATTTCTATATCCTCGTCGAATTTGTTTTTTCGTCCTTTCTCTCCATTTCCGTTTCAACCTCGCGGCTATATAACCCGTGGTCGAAGAAAGTCTCGAGAATTTCGATAATTCCGAAAGAATAATCCGCGCAGCGATCGAGCCGGACTCGAGCGCGTCGAGCGAGCCGATCGTTCCTCTCCTAAACTGGCTTTCGAAGAAACCCATTGTCTCGTCGATCGCGTCCGAAGCCAGCCGAATCGGCCTAACTCGTCGATCCTACACGCGTATTTCGTGTAGGCGACGCCGTACGTGTTCGCAATTTCCGATTCGTCGAGGAATGTCGCGTCGCGAACAGGCTCCCGCGCGATCGTTCCTCCTCGGTGCCGCGACTCCGCGCGATTCTCCGCGAGAGGCGACGCGTCTCGTCCTTGGTACCAATACCGCCGATGGATATCGCGGTTCTAATCGTCGGTCTCGATCGAACCGAGCGCCGCGGAAAACAATGGCCGAACCCCGTTTTTATAGTCCCATTGAAAATATCTCCGGGGATTTAACCCTGCGGACCGTGCAGAGGTCGCGGTCGCGTTCCGGCGGATCGAGGCGACGTTCTTTTCGGATATACGAGCCGTTTATCTTTTGTAAGCGGCACAAGTCGCT